CTGCAGGCCAGCGTGGTTAAAAATAAAAAGGTCACAGCTCTGACCCCAGGTGCTCTTACGCCACTGCAATTCTACATGAAGACCAGTTCAGCATTTCGTTGGCTGTTTGGGTTTCTTTCCTCTATTTCTCTGTAGGTCAAATCCTCCAAGGCTGTCAATCACCCAGAGCCTCCCAGATTTGCATCACTTCAGCCTTTGGCTCTAGAGGCATGTGTTGTCTTTTGGGGAGCTTAAACTCATTGGACCAGAGTCCAATACGTGTCCCTACAGCCCCTGGCAATAATGTGGGTGTCATTAGAAATGTATAATACACTCCTACCAATCTGGCAGTTACAACACAATATAATGACATGCCAGAGCCACATCTGTTCAGAAACATTTTCTAGAATGAGGTATAAATTATCTACGTCTATAAAGACAAAAGTTTCTCTTTTCCCCCCTCACATTTCCTGTCTGGAATGTTGGACCCCTCTGTAGGGAGGCTGTGAAAGTCAATCACTTGTTGTGTCTGAAAAAAAACCCCAAGACCGTGTCGGCTTTTCTCCATTTCTTCACTTATAGTAGGTGGAGCCATCCAAAGACTTTAATACAGCTGAAAACAAAAGAGGTGGTGGAAGAGAGATACCAATCAGAAATGACGAGCCCCAGATTATGCCAATAAGTGGGTAGTTGTGGTTGGGTTTGGCTGGTAAATAAATCAATCATTGTTTCTTTCCAAGAGGAGGACTAGGTACTATATAAAAGTTCTCACACACCACGTTTCCTCACTCCATTTGACTTCTTTCCGCTGGTTCGTGCCGTGGGACACGGTAAGATATTTCCTGCTACTGATGAAAACTAACTCATCTGATTAGGCTTGGAATGCTAAACTGGAAAAGACGGGAGTAACTATGGCTGTTGGGTCTCACAGTCCAAAGATTCCTCCTTATTTACAGCCTTTTTTTTTTTTTTTTTTCCCCTAATGATTCAGTTCGTGGGATCACTTAATCGCGCAGAAAAAGAGGGAGCGCTGAGACAGAGAAAACGTGGGCTTTGGAGCCCCTTTGATTTCTCGGGGCCCAGCACTATGTGGTACCACTGTATACAGGCGGGTCCTAAATACTCCTGGAATATGAATCTTAAGGAAAAGGACAGGACTGAGAGTTTTTGTAGGCACTTAGCGAAGAGTGAGGAAAAAAAAAAAAAAAAAAGGCTGTAAATAAGGAGGAATCTTTGGACTGTGAGACCCAACAGCCATAGTTACTCCCGTCTTTTCCAGTTTAGCATTCCAAGCCTAATCAGATGAGTTAGTTTTCATCAGTAGCAGGAAATATCTTACCGTGTCCCACGGCACGAACCAGCGGAAAGAAGTCAAATGGAGTGAGGAAACGTGGTGTGTGAGAACTTTTATATAGTACCTAGTCCTCCTCTTGGAAAGAAACAATGATTGATTTATTTACCAGCCAAACCCAACCACAACTACCCACTTATTGGCATAATCTGGGGCTCGTCATTTCTGATTGGTATCTCTCTTCCACCACCTCTTTTGTTTTCAGCTGTATTAAAGTCTTTGGATGGCTCCACCTACTATAAGTGAAGAAATGGAGAAAAGCCGACACGGTCTTGGGGTTTTTTTTCAGACACAACAAGTGATTGACTTTCACAGCCTCCCTACAGAGGGGTCCAACATTCCAGACAGGAAATGTGAGGGGGGAAAAGAGAAACTTTTGTCTTTATAGACGTAGATAATTTATACCTCATTCTAGAAAATGTTTCTGAACAGATGTGGCTCTGGCATGTCATTATATTGTGTTGTAACTGCCAGATTGGTAGGAGTGTATTATACATTTCTAATGACACCCACATTATTGCCAGGGGCTGTAGGGACACGTATTGGACTCTGGTCCAATGAGTTTAAGCTCCCCAAAAGACAACACATGCCTCTAGAGCCAAAGGCTGAAGTGATGCAAATCTGGGAGGCTCTGGGTGATTGACAGCCTTGGAGGATTTGACCTACAGAGAAATAGAGGAAAGAAACCCAAACAGCCAACGAAATGCTGAACTGGTCTTCATGTAGAATTGCAGTGGCGTAAGAGCACCTGGGGTCAGAGCTGTGACCTTTTTATTTTTAACCACGCTGGCCTGCAGAGACCTCAGCACAAGAGCAGAGGGGCCAACTGTCCTCCCTGACGGTTGTGGCAGTGAGCTGGTGGCACTGCCAGAGCACGGCCGCCACATCCCGTCACACCACGGGAGTCATCCACAGCTAAGCCGTCTGCCCTCGGCGTGGCGGACTCTCATATTTCATTGGCACTTCCCAACATTTTTGCTTTGACTCTGCCTGACATAACCAGGGGATGGGACCGGCTTACCTAAGTTTAGTTTAAAAAAAAGTCCAGAAGACATTTAATTGCAATGTTCACTGTAAAATAGCAGTAAGAGATGCTCGGATGCTCAGGGGATTGACAGCTTTGTTGTAGGTAGCATGAATGGGACGGAAAAGGAGCAGTTTGGGAAAAAAAAAAAAAATGGGGACAATGCTGGGAGTTTCATATCCAATGGGCAGATAAATATGCAACAGACCCTCTTTAAACCTCTCAGGAGGACGTAAGGAAAGCCCTTCTTGCTGAGAGAGTATCTATCATTTACTGCAGGCCGCACACAGTGTTTTGTTACATTTACTCGGGGGCGAAGAGATAAAAGGGATCATGTTTGCCATTTTCCTCCTGTAGCACCTCATCCCTTAACTGTCTGGGCCACAGGGGAGTTTGCTCTAGATACGACAGTTTGCTCACACTTTTCCTGTCTTTTTTTCTGCCAAACTGGAATTATTATAAACAGCAGCAGCAAGTTCCTCCGGTTAAACCCTCCAGCTCCAGGGAAGCTCGTAAGTAGGAGTTCTTGAAGGATCTTACACCCAGGTGTAGCTGATTGAGGCAACAGAGCCACGCTTCACCACAGAGCCGTAGGCTGTGCCACCTGGAGTAGTCTCTGCTAAGCGCCTCCTTCCTTCCTTTGTCCTGCCCTGGAGCATGAGACCTGCTCAGCCTTATCTCATCTTTGCATTCGCGCCTCTCAGATGATGCTCCAGCAGAGGTGCCCGTCACCCCGACGGAACCCCCTGCCCAGGGCCACCCCCCCTGGGCATCGCCGGTGGTGGTGGAGGACAAGGGACCCTCTCCCCAGGGTTGAAGGGTCTCACCTGAAAGGAATTTCATGGGGCAACTGCAGGCTTTTGCCTGTAAGACACGCCAAAATATATTTCCATTGTCTAACGGGAAAATCTTTGTTTCCAAACAAGTTTTCAAACGCTCGTAAAAAACATGTCATTTGCAAAGCCACGTTCTGAGTATTCATATCACTGGTGTGGTTTTTTTTTCTCTCTTTTTCTTTTTCTTTTTCTTTTTCTTTTTCTTTTTCTTTTTCTTTTTCTTTTTCTTTTTCTTTTTCTTTTTCTTTTTCTTTTTCTTTTTCTTTTTCTTTTTCTTTTTCTTTTTCTTTTTCTTTTTCTTTTTCTTTTTCTTTTTCTTTTTCTTTTTCTTTTTCTTTTTCTTTTTCTTTTTCTTTTTCTTTTTCTTTTTCTTTTTCTTTTTCTTTTTCTTTTTCTTTTTCTTTTTCTTTTTCTTTTTCTTTTTCTTTTTCTTTTTCTTTTTCTTTTTCTTTTTCTTTTTCTTTTTCTTTTTCTTTTTCTTTTTCTTTTTCTTTTTCTTTTTCTTTTTCTTTTTCTTTTTCTTTTTCTTTTTCTTTTTCTTTTTCTTTTTCTTTTTCTTTTTCTTTTTCTTTTTCTTTTTCTTTTTCTTTTTCTTTTTCTTTTTCTTTTTCTTTTTCTTTTTCTTTTTCTTTTTCTTTTTCTTTTTCTTTTTCTTTTTCTTTTTCTTTTTCTTTTTCTTTTTCTTTTTCTTTTTCTTTTTCTTTTTCTTTTTCTTTTTCTTTTTCTTTTTCTTTTTCTTTTTCTTTTTCTTTTTCTTTTTCTTTTTCTTTTTCTTTTTCTTTTTCTTTTTCTTTTTCTTTTTCTTTTTCTTTTTCTTTTTCTTTTTCATCCCAGCAAGAAGACAGATGGTAACTGCATGATGTGTAAAATAACGAAATTGGACAGCAGGCTGCAAACTTGCCCAGGAACCAAAGAGAGTGACTGAGGCAAAATATCCCCTTATAATTATTTTTTTTTGTCATTGCCCAAAACACTGCTCATTGCTGCCAGTGAAGAGGAGCCCAGCGGATGTGGTCCCTCAGTACCTGGCGTCCCTTGTGTCACTCCCAAGGGATCCTGCACAAGGTACTCATACACATCTGTCTGCTTGAGTATCCAAGTGGGTAGAGCCAAATAAAATGAAATAAAATAAAAATCACATCCCCTTCCCGCTGGGCCTTTCACTAAGTTTTGGCGCAGTATTTCCTATGAGGTGACTACTACATCCGGAAACATCCAGCTGAGACCATACAGCTCCTGATGTGACACGATCACAGGTCATGTCAGAGACCCTCTGACATTGTGCCTGGCCTGGGGAGGTAAGTAGGACAAGGAAGATAGATGTCAAGGGATTCACTGTTTGTCTGAAAACCAAATTAAGGGCTGTGGTTGTAGCATATACTTAGCGTATCTAGAACAGCTTGTTTATCTCTGCTGTGAAGATCAAGGACAGTCAGGATGCAGTTGTAAGAGGTTTAGCATGTTCTGGCACATAAAAGATGAGTCCTGAGATTTTGGGTACGTGCACTGGAGAGTGAAGCGTAACAAAGCTTGATTTGGTTGATCCAAACGAGGCCTGTTAGCTTGGCCGGAGAGGTCAGAGCAACACGGAGGTGCCGGCGCGTGCCGCCGCTTTGTTGAAGGACTCATTGCTAGCAGCAAACCAGTAATATCTGCAAACTGTTAAGAGGCAGCGAGATCATCCGGATTTGAGATCATACTCCTGCATTTCAACAGCAAAGCGAAGTGCTCACGTTAGCTGAAATGAGCTTTACGGATAGTCTCGGTCCTGGCTGAACTAACGGCAGTCTTTCATCTGTTAATTAGAAAAGTGTTTTACTTCCAACCAACGGCTCCTTCCCACTGCTGAAGGCCAGTTTTCCCAGGCATATGAATGGGAGTTTCAGTACCAAAGACTGGAAAAATCAGAGAAAGCAGACTTACGTCCTCGTTTTATGCACAGGGGAGACTGATTTGGGAAAATCTCAAATCCGGAGCTTAATCCAGACCTTCTAAATCTCAGCCTAATGCCTCATCCCCAGATAAATCCCTCCTTAATGGAGGAAAATCACATTGTGGAGGCAGAAGTCCCCAGTATTTGGGGGGGGTGTCAGAGCTCTCTTTTCTTTAAGCACAGAGACCCCCAAAGGACACTGCGTACACTGAATATTTTTGTTCACTGTGAAGCACAATCTGCAGCTACCAAAGCTGTATCAGTAGGGTGGAGTATAATTACCACAGAGGCATACGTGTTCTCATCATGCGTTTGCCCGATACCTCCTGATTATATCCTCCGCGTGGGTTATGAAAGAGGTGTGATCCTCACATCCGTCCTGATTGTAGGAGAGGGCCACGCTTCTGCTGGATGACGGGGAGCGGATGGGCTGGGTGTCAGTGTGGCCAAGGCACGCTGGAGATCCAGACAGTTTCGGAAGCCCCCAGATCATTTTCTGTTTAATTCCCTACACGCGCTGTGCTTTTTGCGCATTGCAGGCTGGTGGGTGAGGATGGGGAGGTAAAGGCAACGTGGTGGGTGGAATGGCAGATCGTCTTCTGCTCCTCGATGTAAACCAACTCTCCCGAAGACTTCACTTTCTCTCTCCTTAGGTTAATATGGCAAAATATTTAATAAAACGGCCTAACGCACAAAATACCTGTGATGCCCAGCATCCCCGTACGAAGTACATCGAGGGACACTCGTGTGAGGTGGACACAGAGCTGGGCACACCCTGGGCAACTCTCTACGGGAGAATGACGTCTCCCTTGCGGCCCCATCTGCTCCGAGCCTTTAGGGATTAGGCTCGATGGTCCTTGAGAGGGGCAGTGTTTCATGAAGAATATGCAGAACAGCTTTATCTCCACGTCAGCTCCCCGCCACCAGAGCAAAACCTACCCCCTCTCTGCTGACAGGCAGCCTGCCTTCGCTGCCAGACGACTTGGTGATGCAAGACTTGCTGCTGGGCATGACAGACACGCAGCGAGCGGGTCCAGCTTGTGTTGTCGATGGCTGGCTGTCCCCGGCGGTGGCCAGGATCGATGCCACGCTTGGTTCGTGGCAGTGGCCCTGCTCCGGTGCAGTCAGCGCCCTTGTCCCGAGGACACGGATCCATCTCTACTGAGCAAAAATCGCTTTTCTCCTTCCCACAGTAACACTTCCTTTTCACACCTCTTTCCTCACTCTCCATCTCTTCAGACAAGGCACAGCCTGCCTCCCTACCCACTTAAGCCACTGTGTCAGATGGGTGCAGGGACTGGAAAGGAAGGATTATTTTTAATCTGGAAGTGTTTCTGCTTCCACCCCTTGGGTTCTGCTTCTTTTCTGGCGATCAAATCTTTCAACCCTTCCCTCTCCTCGGTGCCAGCTCTTCCCCCAGGTCTGTCCACTGAGAAAATGTTGTTTTGCCCTTATTACGATAATTAACATCTATGATCTTGGCTAGGGCTCTTTCTGTGTGTATCTCTCCTAATTTCAACACGTGGCATGATTTGTATCCCTCTGCCAAGGAACGTGGACACAGCGATGATGAGGTTCGTGTACCCCAACAAGAACAACTGTCCTCAATAATTAATATACAATGGCTTTGGCAGCTGAACAGTCCAGCTGTGGCTTCCTTTCCTGGTTTCACTTTTATCTGGTCCCCACGGTTTGCCACACGCATTAAAGTCATGGGCACACCCCGTTTTCAATTTTCTTTTCCTCCATTTTAGTTCCTCATTCTTCCGAAGCTCATCGGGAATTTGGGAGATACGAAGTAGGAAGACTTGGGCCTGCCCTACTGGTAGCAGCAACACCTGCCCGGCACTGCAGCTTTGCCATGGCATGCAACAAAGCTCACGCCGACGCAACGCTGTCTGGCTTTAAATGACGGCGTATGGCAGAGGCTACGTCAAAGAAACGTCCCGGAGATCAAAATTTTTCCAACTGTTCTGTTTAATACCTGACAAATTCTGGTGGCGGGTGTGCTTGGATGTTACACTGCGCCTGGAGTCTGCTGGATACCAAAAATCTGATCACTTCAACTGGTTTTTAGCTCTCTAGGTTAAGTATGGAAGTGCTATACTTTGCCTCGTATTTATATAAAAACTTAGATCAGAGGATAAATTTTCTACCAAATAAAAGAGGGAAATTTTGTTGTTGTTGTTATTTCACTTTTATCAACCAATGCCTGCTGTACGTGATAAGAAACGGCCGCGTGGGCAAACAGACACGATAACTTTTAAATAACTGCAATGTCTAACATTTTGGAAAAAGTGGAAGGGCATTTTGAAAAAAAAAAAAAAAAAAATTATCCCTAGGCCTTCATTGTTTTCTGTGGCATACCTCAACCTAGAGACAAGTCTTACCGAGTAAGATAGCAACAGGCAGAAAAAGCAAAAAGGAGGTTAAGTGAAAATTGAGCAACAGCCCTGCTGCATTAGATATGCACGCCTCATATCACACCCACAGCCTCATCACGGAGAGGTTTTGTAATGACAGCGAAGACTGGAGCATGAAGGGCAACGTGATGAGAGGCATGGCGGTGCTGTGGGCACGCTGCCCTCCGACACCATGGTCGCCCTTCCCCTCCATGGCGCTGGTGCTTGGCAGCCACGGAGGGCAGATAGACCCAGGCGCAAGCTTTGCGGCGGAGAGCGATGAGGAAAGCAATGGCGCATTCTGCGTCACGGGAAGCACCTGGTTCATGAAAGCTCAGTCTTGGTTTGCTTGCACGTGACCAGCACCTAGCAGAGCCTGGGCATAAAGCAACCCAAATCCTGCAGTAAAAAGCCACAACCTTCCTTCAGACGTCAGTCTTTGACCCATATTGTCTGTATAATTCCAGTTCCAGTCAAATGAGCCCATTATCTCTGGTTTTGGACTTCCCACATGTTAGATGGTGACCAAGGAGAGAGCCCAAGACCACCACCACCACCTCATGAGGTGGGAGAAGACCATTTCCTTCTGTTTACAGATAAAGACCACCACCCACACCCACCCCAGAGTCCTGCGGCGTGGCTGAACCCAGAGACATCCCCTCCTGAGCCAGACTTCCTGCCCCGATAAGGGAAAATACGGTTTGCCAGGCAATTACGGGACATTCAGGCTGGACATGACTAATTCGCTCAGCTCGGGGCTGTGGCTCAGACACATCCATGTTTTTGGGAACGGGGCACGTGACAGGACGTTCATGGGAAGCATCTGACGTCCGCCTGCTGTCCAACTCGCTGGCACTGGGTGCAAGCGATATTTTAGAGTCCTTTACCTTTAATGAAGCGATTCCTGGGCTGTGGCAGTATGAGAAGATCCAGGCCTTCTGTTTGTTCACATCTTATTTACGCAGCAGGCTCCCCTCACGGAAGGTAACTCTGCTGTCTCCCAGTAAGCCCAAGCAGGCAGATCATACCCCCACTGACTCAACATTTCAAGATCTACCGCAAGAGAACAGCATCCACTGCAAAGCTGGGGAATAAACTCACGTGCTTTTGTCTTGTTTCACTATCTGCAGCACTAAATATCGGAGCAGGACTTTATTTTATCCTACTTTGCACCAGGGCTTTTATCCTCACATGCAGTTTTGCCGAGCCCACGCGCAGCATCCCGTGGGACTGGGTTACGGAGGGGGTTGGGGTGGTGGATGAGGTGATGGCCTCAGCACCTCGTTCCCCGACAGAACCTCTTCACCGGTGGGTTTTTTACTCATTCCCTCCTCTCCAAGAGGGAATAAGAACATTTCTGAGATGCCAGGAGAGCTTGCTTGAAGAACATGTCATTTGTCACCTAGGCATCAGCAGCACTCAAAATACGTCACGGTCAACCTCATTTTAGTGTCCAGTGTGGATCCACGGTGACAGTGGCTGTGCGCAGGGCAGCCTCCTTGGGAAGACAGAGGTGCTCATCACCTGACGAGTTTAACTGCATAGCTTCCTATTTTTATGATCCACCCAGCTGCTTAGTGGGTCATCTGCCCAGTTTTTACCTATGACACAGATGCAACTTCCTTCCCATATTATTCAGCCGGTTTGCACCAGCCCATTAAAATTACAGTCATCAAATGGAAAGTCTTAATTGCTCCATTCATTATCATCAGTGGTCATATCCGACAGTTAATTTATTTGCCTGGGAACTCCCCACAGGCTTCACAAGAGAGCTTTGAGACTAAATCAGGATTAGCTGGTCTGACAATAAGGTGAGGACAGTTGGAGTAAGGAATACCTCCAACACAAGGGACCCCTTCCAGTGACCCCAGTTTACAGCACCAATTGGGTGTTTACTGACCATGCAGCTACCCCGAATTAGGACACAGGGTCCACCAGAACCAGTGCAGGTTTAAAGTTGACAACTATGAAACAGGAAAGCCACATGGATCCAGGGCATCATTATTTTTAAGAATTCTGGACAATTTCCCCTTCACCAACAGTTGCTTCTTGGTTACTTACATCAGGATCTAAGCAGAGGACAGCAAACCCATGACCTGTTTTACAGGAGATACCAGAAACGTGATGCTCTACATGGGGTAGGGACACCTGAGGAAAGTCTCCTTATGATTCCCATTTCAGGGGGAGAGTCCTCCTAAATTTTTCTTCTAGAATTTCACATACAGCTCTGCTGTACGGTGATGCAGGTCAGCTCTCCTCACTGTTCCCAGCCCCATCCAGAGAAAGCTAAACGGAATTGGGGTGGAGAGGGCAAAAAATATTGTCTCTTTGGGCTGCAGGAGCCCTTATTCCTTCCTGCAGTGGAAAGACTTGATATACACAACCAAGTGCGGCATCGAAACAAGATTTTCTCCTTTCAGACTCCAGCTGCTGGTGACATCCCCGTAGGACAAGAGCAGGGCAAGGATAAGGCAGGCACGGACATAAACCGATGGTGTGGACAGTCGCGTACGAACTCCCAGCGACTCAACTCAAATAGCAGGTCCCTCAGGAGCGGAAAGGAGTCGGCACATTTGGATTGGAGATCTGGGAAGGCCAGTGACCTCTCCAGCCAAGGAAGATTCAGAATTTGGCTTCTGCAGCTGAAACCTTTTGTTTCTCACAGTAATGTGGTATTAACTTTTTACCAGGTTTACTCCTTCTTTCCTTCTAAATCTGGCCCATTGCACCAACCACTTCACTTAGTCATGGGCAGGCCAGTACCGTGCTATAGGAGTCCCTGGCACCATGTACCTGCTTTTCCACTCCTCCACTCTTGGCAGTGTTGCATCACTTTATTACTGACTTTGCAGCCAGAAATTTGTCATCAGCAACTTGCCATTTCAACAGCAGGGCACACCATTCCCGCGTCGCATCACCTTCCCACACCCACATTCATTCCGCAACTGCCAAAATCACCTTATGCAACATCTCGGGTTCTCCTTTCAAAGCAAAAGACAAAAACCTGACAAAGCTGCAGGTGAAACGTCGCCTCTTTCGCTGATACAAGTCAGGGGCTGAGCCCTGCAGAGGGGCCTGGAGAACACCAGACCTTCCTCAAGGGTTGCGCAAACAGCTCATCTGCCTGTCTCGCTCCTCACTGGTTTGCATCCACAGCAATATCTGGGCTGGGGATCAGCTGAGCTCCGATTATGCATCAGCTAATTACAACAAGCACCGAGGCTCTACTAGGAATGAGGGGTAGTGAGTCAGGAGGGAAGAGCTTCCTGCAGCTCAGCACCTGCACTGCCACAGGATGGTGCTCTACGACCATCTACCTCCTTCTCTTTGCTTTGAAGAAGACTTTATGTTGCTTTTTCTCAAAAAAAGCAGGACTTCTCCAATCCCACAGAGTTCAGAAGCTCCCACGCCTGCTAGAGTAATTAGGAATTTAAAATAATTGCCTGAAGACAGGAAGAGTCTTTTTCTAAAAGCTATTCTCAGCCACTTTTTACCATTTCTCCCAAGCCTAGCAACACCAACAGATGTTCTTCAAAGTATAGTAGCCCTGCTCAATCCCCCCTGCTTTTTTTTTTTTTTTTTTTTTTTTTTTTAGCAGATACATCAAAACAGGACAAAAGCCAAAACCTGCTGTTAGCTCAGACAGCTTCGAGGATGCTCCGATTTTCTAAAAGATTTGAGCAGAAAAGAGCCCCACATTAAGTTTGGGGTTTTTTAGATTTGCAAACTGCTCCTGAAGTAGTGGGAGTTGTGAACAGGTTTCGACGCTAGAGAGAAACTAGCACCAGAACTCTCCCCAGACCCAGTGCATCAAAGATTTGACAGGGCCTATTTCGGTACTATCCCATGTGCTCAATGAGCGACTAAAGCCAGACCACAGCTCTCACTTCAGCAACCAAAAGGAAGAGCTACACAGATTATCTTTAGCTGGAATAGTCATTGGGCTGCTCTAGCTCTCGTTTTCCTATACGAGTCTGTTTCTGTAGCTTCTCAAGAAGTTAAAGCCTTGAGATTCTGCCTGATACCTGGGCTATAGGCTGTAGGGAGGAAGCCTGAGAGGCTTCTGCCTGCTTTTCAACCTCTCTGTGGCATCAAAAGCACCATTTTAGAGAACAACATCTTCACCTTTTGCTTGCTCTCCCCTATCACCAGGATTTTGTGTACCGTTGGTCTCTGCTGGGCAGCTGGTCAAGTCTGGGCTCTCAGCACTGAGGTGTGTCCTTGACCTGACCCATTTTGAGGGGGGGAAGGAGCTGCCGATGCAGCTCGGCTAATGGCAAAGAGAGCAGCTGGGGCAAAAACCCAGGAGCTGCACAAATTGGTGGTACCCAGAGGAGAGCATAGCTAAGCTGCGTTAGCCAGGCTGGGATTGCCGATGTGCTGGGATGCTCTCTGGGCTGTTGGAAATAAATCCTGAGCCTTAGTTCTGGCACGAGTGGCTGAAATATAGATAAACATCCACCAGGTGGCAGTTGTGAGCACGCCAAGGGGATGCTCCAGCGTAAAGGACTGTCTGCAGCAAGCTGGGACTTTAAAATAACGAACATCCTGATAATGTGTAAAGCTGCTTTGTAAGGTTAGCTAACACCAAGTGAGCTCCAAGTATATTATTAAAAAAAAAAAAAAAGTTTGAAGAGCAGTAATAAACTCCGACTGCCGCATGTGAAACAGCACCAAACGAAAGGCTTTGAGCAGCTGGTGCTGGCACTGGTGAGCAGGTGGGCTACAGAGCTGGGCCTGGTCTGGGGTCAGGGAATGCCGCTCTGGGGGGCACGTAGGGAACCGTCTTCCTGGGGATGCCTGCCCTGGTCCCGTCTGGTACGATGGGTGGGTTTGGTCACGCACATCAGGAAAAGGAGTCTGCGAGTCTGCGAATTGTTGGCTACTGTGTGCTAGAAGTGGCTCTGGATGATTACTGCTGATGTTGGAGGCGGGATGTTTTTTTTATGGTATGGGGATCAAACCACCAAATCCGATGCTTCTGAATTGCACCAGAAATTGGCTAAAGGGCAAATTATCGGCTAAGAAATTCTCCTGGTTGGCTTCAGCTCTTGCCTCGTCGAGATGATGCCACTGTTCAATAAATCATACTTCTGTCCTTCTCTTCACGCTCGGTTTTGAATTGTTGCTATGTGCTCAGTCAAAGCTGATCAGGAGAGGACAAACTCGCCCTGTGAAGTCAGCTTCAGCCTGTGAAACGCTCGAGATCCTGCTGGCTCTTGTTGGGACCCCGACGTCCTCTCTGAGAAGCCCCAGAGCTCTCAGGTGGTTCCCTTGTCCCGTGGGACAGCGGCTGGCGGTGAGCACATTGAGTAAGACTTAAATATGGGATGAGACAAAGGTTTCTAACATGTCCCTAAACTCTCCAGCCTGAAATTGGAGAGACCATGCTCCTAATTACATTCACAATATTATTTTTTTTTTTTTTAATTGGAGTATTCATTAGAACTATGTGAGGCTGCTGAGTTAAAATTGCCGGGTATCAGCTACTGCTCATTTCAAAAGACCATTTTAGTTCTATAATCTTTAGTTATAGACCTAACATAACATTGTCAAAAGCAAATTTTGTGTTAGGTGACTGAGCTGCTATTTGCTTTCATCCTCCAGGCATCTGAGGGCAGGGCTGAGTGGCTGGTGTAGACCAGGCTGAGCTCCTCGGGGCGAGCTGGCCTTGCTGCCGGACCAGTGGGCTGTGGCGTTTGGCAGCATCTCTCTGATCTAACGCGCCCCGTCTCCCTGGGCTGGCTTAACTCGACTGCGTGGCACTTCGAGTTTAACCACACTGATGCAGCTGCCTGCCTCGGTAGACAGTTCTGAAAGTCCGATAGAGGTTTCTGAATGGCAGAGACACTTTAAATGCCTTCCTAATTTCTCACCTTTTTTTTTTTTTTTTTTTAATTAGGAATAATAAAAATGTGGCAGTTGCCACCCAGCTTGTTGAAAGAGCAGACAGCTGTATTGCACAGACGCCATTTACATACAAATCACATGCATTCTCGTTGCAGTACAATTGCCCAGAAGAGGTGGAGCTCAGCAGAACCGGGCAAATGGGCAGCGTTTGCAGGCGAGCGACGTAGCAAGCGTGATGAACCGAGGTAATGAGAAGTTCCCCACGTGAACACACAGCACTGAAACCTCTGACGACGTAGGAGCTCTTAAAGCCTGGCTCTAGCACGAAGGTATGGGTGAAAAACCATCAGGAGGGATGCAGAAAAGCTCCTTTGCTCGTGGTGCTGCGTGTTGGGTTCATAATGCAGAAGCCAGGAGAGGAAAGGGGAGGGCGCTCCCCTTGCCGGGTGCAGCCAAACAGCTTCACCCGTGTTGGAACGTGACCACATTAGACACACGCCCTGCGGCTACTTGGAGGAGAGCACAACTTGATTACTTCTCTCCTATTAGGCAGATCTGGAGCAGGTCTAAGTCATCCTCACCTCTGCTGACTCCAGAGAAGTTGGGCCACTTCAGAACTGCTGTCTCTCTGATTTTTTTTTTTTTTTTCCCCCCCAATAAAGTCTACTTGCTTTATTTTTGGCTTCAATACTTTTCTTCTTTTAAAAGATGGTTCCGTGCCGTGCAAATCAAACCGAATTTGGAGTCCTGTAGCCTGCTTAACCTTGTCACAAGTGACATGTTTGGGAGTTAGCAATTTCAATGCATGTCATGGCTGATAGAGAAAAAAAAATAAATATCACTGCAAGTCTGATCTGCCTTGTTCTGATACTGAATGACTGGGTGTTTGTGGCACTGTGGGTTCTTGTTAGTCTGGGAATTTCAGGCTCAGCGTTCAGCTGCTGTGGTGTGAAGGACTTTGTGCCTGCCCGGAACACCCTCATGCTCCCTGAACCCATTTGCCACATGATGGATCCCAAGGAATTGTTGGGGTGCAGCTTAAAAATGTACGAGGAATGATTTAGGGTAAATTTAATTGGGATTTATTGGTGGATGGGGCCATGCGCCTCCATTTGTGAATAGTTTAAGGTGCTACTGCATAGGGCAGTGTGGTCTAGGGGTTAGAGCGCTGCCCTGACAACTCCAGTGTTTGCTGGCAGTTTACTGATTCGCCGTGTTGGTCACTTTACAGCTGTCTCAGCTTTTCTGTAAGTTGTTTTAAGATCCACTGTGGGAAGCTGAGTATTTATTACCAGCGCAGGTGGAAGCAGAGCTTGTCTTTCCGTGGCTGCGGTACAATAGGGGATTTTCAGCTCTGAGACAAGGATGGAGGGAGAAAAAAAAAATCAAAGTAGAAAGTGGGTAGTTTGATGCAGTAGAGGCTTTATTATGTGAGATGTTGGTTATATACCATAGAGAATAATGTAATGCAGACTACAGAGCAAGTATTCTCTGACTTACAGCTGGTGCATCGGAGGTGGATATTTAAGTAGTGTTTCCGGAGTGAGCTGTTTCACACAGTAGACCCCTTTAACTTGGAAGTCAAGTCCCCTTTTTCCACCATTTGACATTTACTTTTGTCTTATTTCTCTTGGTTGCGTATAGACCAAAGCACAGAATTAAAACCCCAGTTTCTGTAGAGAATCTCCTCCGGAGCAAAGCGGAAAGCAGAAAGAAATGCGTATTATCAGCAGCGTTAGCGTGGAAGGACCTGGTTTTCGTCGGCACTGGGCTAGCTGAGGCCACGTTGGTGATGCAGTGTCATCGATTAGGCCCACGGTAAAATACGTAATCTTTACACTGGAGGTCGTGGAAAACCTGTCTTCACGCGGTCGAAACCCGAGTTCACTGTAGGAGGCTGTAGATACGAAGTTGAGAGCTCTAAATCTAATGCAGAGGGTAACATGGGGAGGATTAAATAAGGGCTGGTTTGTAAAGGTGTCAGGCTGTCCACAAGCCCCGGTGATTGCAGCAGGGTGCGCACCTTGCTCTTCATCCATCGCCCGGTTGTTCTGTGGGCACCTCTGCGGAGCTTATTGTTGCCCACAGTTGTAGTGGTAGCTGTTGGACCACTGGTACGAATAAGGACAGGAGCTGTGCTGGTACGTGTAAGCTGGAGCACATATCTGAGGGCATCTCGTAACGCCTGGCTGTCCACAGTGTGACACGCAGACGTGTTCCCTGCCCTGCAGCTGGGGCTGAGGGAACGCCACGGTGCATGGCTCGGGAGACCTGGGGCTACAGGAGGAAGAGTGGTCTTCCACGATGTGAGTCTCAACGCACCGCGATGAACACGGCGCGGAGCACCTGGGGCCGCTCTGGATGGTCCTTCTCACGGTGCACACCTTGGCGCCCTTGGATGCACACGCGGAACACGACCCGCACCTCACGCCGGGGTGGTGGCACTGCGTGAAGACCGGTGTGGCACACTTCGCTCCGCCTGGAACGTAGCACTGCTGCTTGTATTGGTACCCGTAATAAGACATTGTTCTGGGGTGGAGATGAACCTAAAAAAAAAAAAAAAAAAGGTAAATTAATTCCCTGTTTGACAAACCGCCTCTCTGCTGGTTGAGCCTCCTGCGCTGACTCGCAGCCTGCATCTCTGTAGCAGAAACTGTGCAGCATTGCGTTTTAACTAAGAATCTCTTTCACGGCTTCGGAGGTCAGGTGGGGCAGGTCGCTATTATCCTTAGAAGAAGGGGAGTTTCAGGCACGACTGCAAAGTGACCTACATGCTTCAGCCAGTGAGGCAATGGCGCATCTGGGATTGGTGCTGAGGTTCTCATCTTTTCGCGGCAAGGTCTATCATTTATTTGCTTTCCAGACGCTTCGGTTGAAACTGGAATTGCTTTCTGCTGGCACTAGGTAAAGCGAAAGGAAGCATTGCCCTTCTTTATGCTGATTTAAATGGCGGAACGGAGGATCGTTATCTCTGTAATTGGCAGGGTGACGGGGCAGAGCCCTGTTTTTAAAAGCCTGAAGTTCATTAAGGACAGAGCGACTTTTGAAAGTCGGGCTCAAGCTGCCAGTGTTGCCTATGAACAGAAAAAGTCAAAGGCAACTCTCTGCCTCCCAGGATGCGGCCGTGCAATTCCTTCCCTGGCTATTCTGTACTCCGCTGTCTCTTGCTCTTTCTCTCCAAGTTTGCTCCACCAGAAGCTGGGGACAAAAGGGCTGCAAGAATCGCAGGAGGAGCTGCCTGAATGAACTTGTGGAGCACCCGCTGCTGCCAGGGCTGGCGGGCTCCTGGCGTGGCCATGCCCTGCCTTGGAGGCAGGAGGGTGCAGGGTCCATCCCAGGTGCTGGGAAGAGGCATTTCCTACCTGTGGGACGTCAGGGCTGCCTCTGCCATACTCGGGAGACAAGAAGCATCCATTCCAAAGGCGTGATTGAGCATGGAGAAGTGCCGACGCCTCGGATTTCCTAATTAAAATTTAAAATCCGAGTGCGAAACAGCTTTCCTCAGCGCCAACAAATGACACTGAGGTGTCTGTGCTTTGCAGTCTGGCGGCAGGTGCTGTTGCAGACGTACAGGACTATTCTAGAACCAGCTCCCAAGGGTCAGGTCCCAGCTACTGAAGGTCAATATGATTTGTTTACAGAAGCGTCAGCTGACAATCAACTGCCACCACAAGGAGAAATGCCAGGCAGGATTTGATCAGGGTTTTCTTGACATATTTTGAAAGTGGTTGGGTAATATTCTTTACTCTGGTAAAGAAGAATCCCCGAAAGTGTTTAAAAAGGATCTTGAGTATGCAGAAGCTTATTATTCAGTTATTCTAGATAAAAATTAGCCTCTGTAGTACAGTGGAAGTAATCTACATCAGTCTCTGATTAGGATGGTAAAGCTCAGCTGCCAATAGAAAGAGTTACTTGAACTACTAAAATAAGTTGCCTCTAATATAAGAAAAATCTAGAATTATTTTTTTTTTTCCCAAAGAAAATTAAAGAAACAGGTACCTACATGGCCAGATCAAACTAGAAACATCACATCCCAGATTGTATGAGGTTCTGTAAACCTGGGGCTCAACTTTAAAGCCTGTATCTGTCTATGCCTGTAAAAAAATATATAATAATAATAATACGCAAGAAAGATCCTTTCAAAGAAACAACCCTCTTCATTTGCAGTGTCAGAATATTTCTGCTGGATCTAGATTCAAGTTCAAAGGACCACCAAAAGGATATTCTGCTATTTAGAAGTAGGAAGAGGCAAATAACTTACCGAGCTCACAGCGGAGAGTAAGAACTGGCTTGGAAGCTTGGAAGTGCGTGTTTTTATATGGTCTTTTAGACTGCATGGAAAACCTGAGCCGCTGTGTATCAAATCCTAATTAGATACCAGAGAGAATTTGTTCATAGACAACTTTTTCATTGGCTGTAAGGATTTCACGCACTTGTGATCATTAATATATTTTTATCACCAAATTCCATGAAAGGCATCTCAACCCCTGAGGGTTCTTTCCACTTTAAATCTTTATGGGAGAGGTCAAAGCCGCCTTTTATTCCATTGACCTCATTAGTTATGTAAAGAAATCCATCCCTCAGTTCTTAAAGCTTCTTTAGCAGACTGACAATCAGGGAGCAGCAGGGGGGGAGCAGGTAGTGATCGGGTCCTTACTCTATTTTCTCTTTTGTTCATTTAAATGCCAGTGGGCACCTGGGGGGTGTTGAGGAATCTGGCTTTGCAAAGCGAGGTTAGGAGAGATGTACCCAAGGCTTGGCACTCTACTCATTCCATGGCTCATCTAGTGTTCTTCAAACTTCATCAGAGTCATTCCCCGGTTTTATTAGGCTTTGCATTTGCTTGGTTTTTACGGCTGGGTAAGGAGGGTGCGCACGCTCGCTGATACTGCCCTTTCGGTGGGGCGTAAAACTCTCAGGGTCGTGTCCAGGCCTTGTCCTGTGGCAGATTGAATTCTGCTTGGAAAAGCGGCACATCCACCTTGCACGGAATCATGACTTTGCCAAGGATTTAAAAGCTGGCTGTGCTTTATACCGGCAGCTGTGGTACCACAGGCACTCTGATTTGATTATCAGTGGCGTTGGTGATGTCTGATCGGGTTCCTTTGGCGAGAAACGACCCGGAGTAGATTATGGCATCCCAGTGGCAGCGAAGAGGGGAGCGATTTTTCTAATGACCCCGTTATCTTGCTCCGTGACCACCTCAACAGCTGCTGATTTACACCTAGACCTCAGCCGTGCCGGTGCGGATGCTGCCTGTACGTGTGCCTTGTGTTTGTCCATCCGACGGGAAACCGCTCCCTACGCGTGATGTAATTAATCACCTTTGATGTCTTGAGACGCATCTTTTAAACTGGATAGGCGCCAGCGTTCGTTATAATGGGGTTCAGCTTGAAGAGCTTTGCTCCTGTTAAACATTAATGAGCGTTTGTGAGGAGTTTTACGAGGTCCTGTTACGAGGATGCTGTTTAATAGCCTCTATTCTTGTTTTATGTGCGGGTAAACATAGGTCTGTCCAAACACGGTACCGCCGAGGACCGTCTTAATTTATCAGCAGAGCAAAGCTGAGGTGGGGAGTGAGAACAAGCTCTGACACAGGTCACGCCATGAGGGGTGTGCTTCAATAAAGCTGAATTTTCTCACGTTCTCAACCTTCCTGGTGAATTTACGGCTTAACGTTAACTCACGAGGTGTCGTGTAGGGCAAGGAGAAGCGTCGAAGCACCTAATGGAAGGCCAAATTATTGAAAAGCGCGTTATTCTCCGCAGAATAATGTAGTGATGCTGGGGCAGTTTGGGCTGGGCCAGTGAGAAGTGTACGGGGCATCGAGGCTGTCTTTGGGATGTTTGCAGCACACTTCCAAGCCTGTCCTGATTTTTTTTATTTTTTTTATTTTTTTTTTTTAAATTTGTAATCTGGGCATCAAGCTGCACGGCTGGTCATTCAGAAGTCGAATAGCTCTGGACTTCTACTCACAAGATATCGAAAGCCTTGTTCGTAAGCAATCTGCTTTCCTTTAAGAGAAATAAAACTTGGAATGTTAACAGTAAAACGCAATCTTTTAATGCAAAGGAAGAGGGGAGTGCACGACTGCTGTCTGAAGTAAAGCAAATTAAGATAAATGCGATTCCAGGGTTTTAGCAGGTTTTATTTCTAAAAATCTCACGCTGTATTTTCCACACTTCCATAGTCACATCGTCCCAGCCTTTATGTTATTGTTAACTTTAAGACAAAGTGGGTAAAACCCTCGGCGACTTCTCGCATCCGCACGTTATGAAATTAAACGCGCTAAAGCCTCTCGGGGTTACATTTAGCTGCAGTGCGGTAGTTGTAAAGCAGCTGAGCTGATTACACATACCTGGTTTGAGGAGGAGAAACAAAGAGAAATGGGTGAAGCACTGAGCCTCAAATTACTTTTATATAGTTTCCTAGTCACTCTTTTTGGGCACATTGTCCTTATTAGCCAAAGCCAACACGTAATTGATGTAATTATTTCTAAGGTTCCTGCCTCGCCGGCTGTGGCGTGCACACTAAACCACACGCGGTTTTGGAGTTTTCAACTTCAGGAATAAGATTTATTTGTTGTGGGGTTTCAGTGGTCTCAGGGATGGGTCGGATTCTTACCATCTCTCTGATTTTTTTTTTTTAATTTTTTTTTTTGGATGGTATAATCAAATGAATGTCTTGAGAGAGCTCCTTGATCCTGTGTGAGCTCTAGTTTGGTCCTTTATGGATTTATATGTCTCTCCTGCATATCCTTACAGACAAAGGGCTATTAAAACCTTTCTTAACATTTCACTTAAATACAGAATAAATGTGTCCTGTCAGATCTTTGAGTGCTCGGCTCGACGATTTGTCTGCGGCTCAGGTGTTTGTTTTTTGTTTTTTTTTTTTTTTTTTTTTTTTTTTTTAGTACCTTTAGTTTTTAAGGTGCTGAAATCTGATTCTTAAGCTTATTTTAACTGGTAAATTGAGCTGACACGTGCACTGTTTCATCGCATTACTTCCCGACGGACGCGCTCTTCAGGTACCGAGTCTTGGCTGTGGTTCACTGGTTGACACATCACTTATTTCCTCGTCTCCTCTGGTTAATGTTTGAGCTGACAGTTGTAACACTCTCGTTAAATACACATGACAACACCAGCTGTGCAGAACATTAATGAGCTTTTACAACGTGCTTTGAAAATGCTTTCAGAAAACATCGGCCTGCCTACTGTCAGGGTGAACATTTATGTTAAGCGGACCCTGTAGTGACATCAACCCCAAGCAGTCTGCAGCAGAGAAGGAAAAACATTCCAGTGGTGTGGATTCCTCTCACACTGAAGATCTTGACTTTTTGAGCCAGAATTATGAATACATTTCTAAAACAAGACTTAACGTTTAGTTCTGGCTTAACCTTTAGTTTTATCTTCAGCTGGCTAACTTGAATATAGTCACGAGGAATTTAATCCCAATGTTTCTGAGGAGTTACTTCAGGGGTGAATTGCTCTCCAACCCGAGATGAAGGCGTATGATGCAATTCACATGGTTATCTTCAATTATATAGAAAAGGCAGTAGCCGATTTTCCAAAGGAATTACAAATATCTTAGGTCATCCTCAAACGTTATGACACTACGAAGATAAATCTTCGCATGCAATTAAATGAGAAAAGCGTCTCAGTCATTTCCCGTTGTTGTGGAAAGCTTGTCTGAAGTTTCTGCTCCGCAGCAGGATATAATGCAACGGGGCTTAGTCCTGCCCTTCGGAGTAATTTTGCTGCCAATCCGATGATACAGAAGATGTTTCCCCCGAGATTCCTCGGGAAGGGAGATCTCTGTTCTGCAGCGTGACCACATCCACCTCTAACTCCACCAAAGGAAGGTTTTTCCTTGCTGCTGCTGAAGGGGAGAAGGCTTTGAGGTGAGGTCGAGTACAATAAAACCAAGGCTAAAAAAGTCCTCTCCCTCCAGAAGTAGCAAAATGTCGTCGTTGTTGACACGTCGCTGCCCCCCGTGGCCTGCTGGGAGTGTCTCTACGCCCCACGCCGCTGCCGCCCTTGGCGTCTGTTGTTGACTCCACCGCCATCAGAAAGCCTCCTCCTCCTCCTGGTGTTTAACACGGATGAGAACCCCACACTGGCAGTTGCGATTCATCCACAAGCGGGATTCCAAAAATGCGTCTTCCACTTCCATTCCATACGCGCAACATGTTATTATAATGGTTTTAGGTGCACTTTTATTGAAGAAGTGACTTGCTGGAAAAAATGCCTGACAAGGTTTTGCCTAAACCACACCCTATTTATCGTCTGTTTTTTTTTTTTTTTTTTTTCCATTCCCCTAACCAGGTCATGATTCATAGCTTTACAACATGGGACGTTGAATTTCATATAAAATATGGCCTTACCCTTTTTATCCTTTTTTTTTTTGTTTGTTTTTTATTGTCAAAGCTTACACGTTTAAAGAAGCCACACTTGATGTCTAATTGGAAGAGTTGCGCTGACTAATTCGGATATAGAACTCCATAAAACTCAGGATTTCTGCAGTGTGCCAGAGCTTTGACCAAACAGTTTATCGGCCTCATTTCATCACAGAGCCGTGGCTATCCCTAGGCCTAGAAACACAAGTTTTCCCTCACTTTAACAACTCTTTCTGGGCTGAGTCGGGTGCATTTTTTTTCCAAGCAAATGGCTTTTTACCACCTGCCCAGAAACAAGTCCATTCATGGAGGACATCAAGCATGAACCATATAAAAAATTTTGTCTGTGTTGAAGACGCGGAAGCAGAATATCTCCTCTATATAAAGTTTTGAAATAGCAGAGAGTGGAAGGCAATAAAGTACAGGTCATACGGGGTAGAAGGACAAGCTAATAATTACAAAGATTTATTTAAAACAATTGACATCCATTAACAAAGTTAAGTCTGGAAAGAAATGTGTTTAGTAATTGATTAGGATGTTATGCACGTAGGTGATTCATGCTTCGGGCAGTCTAAGGGCGAGTATAAAAGCGCTCAACATCAGATCTTGTGTGATCATTTCTCTTGTCTTGTTTCTCTTGTGAAGTAGGTAAGTTTCATCGGGATTCCTCCTTCTAACAAAGCCTTTGTTAGCAGTTTTACGTCAAGTTGAATCCTGTGCAAATTTTCTGATATCAGTCTGAAGTTTTCTTGACGTAAATTAATGAATTTGTGGCGGTTCAGCTTTGGTAAAGTGCAGATCTGGACGATGAGCTCCAATTAATTTTTCAGGAAACCTGGTCTCCAGGTGTTGTTGTGTTCAATACAGGATTTATAGGTGTCTTCTAGGAACTGAGCTATGAAAATTCTGCCTTTCCCTCTAGCCTGTTGATAGTCTTTTACTAGAATGTGTGGCTGTGAAACGTTTAAGAATTTATGCCTCTTTTTTATGCTGTTCCCTTGCGCTTCAGATTAACCATCCCTGAAAAATGGTGCACACTTTAAACTCATGCACTGGCGGTGGTGCCTCCCCGTGTGGGGTGGCTGTGCCACAGCCCATTGCCGACAGCTGCAACGAGCCCTGTGTTCGGCAGTGTCCTGACTCCAGGGTGGTGATTTACCCTCCGCCGGTGGTTGTGACCTTCCCCGGACCGATCCTCAGCACCTTCCCGCAGCACAGCGTCGTGGGATCTGAAGGAGCCCCTGAAGTCGGAACTGGCTTTAGTGCTGCCCGTACTCCTGGGGCCTCTCATGTTTATGGTGGTGCCAGATGGGGACGGGGATACCCGGTTGGAAGCTGTAGACCGTGTTAAACCCACTGAGAGTTGCTGGAGAAAGAAGAATGTCCACGAGATGACAAGCAGGGTGTAAATCTGTGGCTGAGCTCCACGGCACAGGATTGAACATCTGGGGCTGCCGTTAAATGCATCTGTAGGTGCCCAGATCTTCTGAAAAATCTGTTTATATCATTCTCAGCTTACCCTTCCTGACTATTCTTTTTATAATGCCTTCCTACCCTTTTGAAGTGCTCCGTTCTCAGTGCTCCGGACCATATTGCTAATTCCTTGGGGTCTCGTAGGTACCGTTGCGGCAGCGTGAAGGGATCTGCAATGACATCCACTTTAGATCCCTGTGTAGGCTCTTTCTCTGGCAACGGACGGCTAAAAAAAAAAAAAAAAAAAAAGTCAACTAGCCTACGTTCTGTTTCTGTGCTGTATTGTGTCTTGCTATGATCGGGGCCGAGTATCAACGCAGCTGCAATAGGGAAACGACATCAGTGATTAGGTGATTCATGCATCAACCCACAGGTTGCGAGCGGTTTGTAATCTGTACTATATATAATCCCGCCTCTGTAATGATCTGCTTCTTTCTCATTAAACATGACATTGCAACGTGCTATTGGCCTCTACCCGTGTGTGCAAGTCTGCGTGCCCCTCTACTCATCCTGGGTCCGGCGCCTTTGTTCCGCTGCACCAAACGGATCCTCTCGTTCTGCTTCAGGGATATTCCTGAGCAGTTTGGCAGCGGGTTGCGCGTGTGTCTCCTTTCCACAGCAGCCTCTGTGCTTGGTAGCTGTCAACAAAACTCCTGCCCACATCTTTGCTTTCGTTGTTCCTGGCCTTGCTCAGCCCTGATGAAGCTTTTCCCTCAATACTGGCTTTTTCTGGGAGTGTGTTACCCGTTAGCTGGTGTCCTCAGGCTCAACACCCCCCCTCCCCATCTAGGCAGTGCTACAACGCATCACAGAGGTGCATGGAGAATCCGCATTAGCGAGAAGAATCTGAAGCCAACTGTTATGTAAAAGTTGCCATTTTTGTGTGTAAAAATTAAACTCCTGGCTTTACTGCTCTGCTCAGTGTTTTACAACGACGTAACCCACGCGTGTGAAAATGGGCGGCGACGCTCGCTCATGGGGTTTTGGGTTTCTTCAGGAATATATTGATAATAAACCTTTCACAAGCTTCCCGTGCCGCAGTGCGTGTTTGAAATGTTATGCCGTGTGTTAACACCTTGTCACAGCCACGCTACTGTTCAGTATCACAAGCTGACACGAGAACGCCGGATTATTTCATAGTAGTCCCTCTTTGGAGAATTATTATCCTTCCGTGTAAGGAAAACAAAGTTGACCAGGCGTTGTACTAGTGTGTAATTGACTGTTGGTGAGCCTTAGACCAGGTGATTAAACCAGGTTCTCACCAACCACGTAATCCTTCCCCACAAACGAGAAATCCCCCAGACCTCAAAAGCCAGCTGAAGAAATCTTTATTGTTATGCTAATAGTGTATTTGGAAACGAACCCGAGTTTATTCTTGAGGCCTTTCAAGTTGCACTTTTCCTGTAATAAGTCGAGACTTGCAGTTCCCACAAAAACACCAAGTGTCGGTAAAATTAGGAAATTTTGCCAGAGGATTTCTATGGAACGATTTAACACACCTTTTATTCATTTTGATAGAAAAGCTACTCCTGGGAAATTCTCTGATGTAAAGTCGATATCTTCAGATATCAAAGCATTGAGTATCTTACCAAGAAACAACCGATGTCATGAACACAACCATTGTCATTGTCTCTCAGGTCCATTATTGGATTATGGGCTGAAAATATTCGTCTAAATATGGTGAATTTTGGAATTCTTCTCGTTTCCCTGGTTGCTTCTACTAAGGGCATTTTTACTCTACCATGTGTGGCCCACTTCCCCTTCTCTTAAAAGTTTTTTTGCTGTAATATTGCCCTCTTTAAGAAATATTTCTCAAAATGCTCTAGTCCAGTTTGTGCAATAGTCAGGGGCCCGATTTCTCGTCTGGGATAACTTTACCCTTTAAAAAAGATTCTCGCTCCTGCAGTGAATCTTTGTGCTTGGAGACATGTCCCGCAGCATGCCTCATGTGTGGGTTGTTCACAAGGTGCATTTAAATTGATAATTTCCCACATGCATCCAATAAATGCATCCGGCTTCAGACTGGCATTCAGGACTTTAAATAAAATTACAGGAGTCAGTTTTCTGTTAGCTAAATTAGCCATCTGTCATCTAGTATGATAATATCTCGCAGGCAGCCACAAAGTTCCTCTAATCATCCAACTTTTCTTAAGCCTCAGGGTATAAAACCCTATGAAAAGGCGAAAATGCTCTTCACACACCCCTGAACAGGTGTAAGAAGCTTGGAGCTCCCTGAGATGTTAGGATGGATCTACTGGGAATTGAGCATCGGTGCTGTTGGCTGATGCTTGGGGGGGGCCCAGGGCATGGCCTGAACCCCAGTTCTGCAATAACTTGGGACTTCTTGAATCACCCTGATGTTCTTTAATAAATACGTAATAAAATGATACAGTCCCTGGATGGTAACTAAAGGCTGAGAGCGCCCTGTGGTAGGGGCAAGTCAGGTGAAAAATTGTTGGTGTTTGCATAAGGCTGTCTTGCAGCGGGGGAGGAGATCCTGGATCCCTGGAGCAGGGGGAGAGCAAAGGAGGAGGGCTCAGCGGCGTGTACAGACGTTGGAGTCACAACGACAGCAGTGGCATCTTCAAAGCATAAAGGGAAGCGAGGTGGTGCCCGGGCGGCTCTGAGGCAGTGTGGTGGAGGCAGGTGACAAGTCTGGGAAGGTTGGGGCTGACAGGCGATTACAGCCCGTGGGCCACGTTCCCCAGGCATCGGGTGTGATTGCACCCGCTGTCGGAAGCGGTGGTGCCTCCGGTAACGAACCGAGTGGGATGCGGTGAAGGGAAGAAACAACATAAAGACTGCTGTGTTGGCAAATGCGGACGCAGACCTGACATTAAGTTGCCACCAAAGGACCCTGGGCAGGCTGAAAATTTCACCCAAATCTTCGGCTTCCCGTGTCTTATTCTGTCTCTCCTCCTGTGCATCTCTCTGTAAGCCCTTCTGCACTGTACACGCGGGTGGGAAAAGCCTTGCGTGCCAGAGGGCATCCACCGGAGATAAGCCGAATTTATTGCGTTGGGAGACTCAACCATTTCTTAATGTTTTCCCTGGGGAACCCAGCCCTTTTTTTTTTTTCTGCTGACAGCAGCTAGCAGAAGGATTACTAAAGCTGCCTTAACAGCTTTGCCAGTTTCAAAGGGCTGTACTGATTTACTGCCGACGTGCCCTTCTAGGAGGCTAGGGTGGAGGTTGCTGCCCTTATCCTCTTCCTGGGGCATCCTGCTCTGGCTTAAACTAGGACACAGAGAGATCTGAGCAAACAGGCAGCAAGCCAGGCCCATCTCTTTGTGGCTGTTTTTTTTTTTTTTTTTTTTTTCCAGACAAGGAAATGGATCTGTGGGGCTCATCTGCTGTGGTCCAGTTTAAGGTCAAATGGTTTAAGTCAAAGAGATGACATGGATGTAAAGAAATGGGCTTTGGACTGGAAGAATAACAATTTACAGCTCAGGGACTGTTCTGCTAACTAAAGCTGTTTTTCTGCCCTGAGAAAGTGCCTCTCCAGTCTGCTCTGATAGTGATTTTCTTGACCCTTTCCTCCCCTTTGCTGTGTCAGGTGAGGAATGTGGAAGTGTGGCCACCATGGGAAGGGAAAGGGTAGCCACGTAAGGTATGTCTTGCAAATCAGCCCAGAGGTGCCCCCTCAACAGTCACTACCGCAGCAAGATTTTTGACTCTTGGTGATGTCTTTGATGTACAACTGGGCTTGCATGGGATCCGTGCGGTTTTGTCTAGGCTGTGCTTGCTGAACCACCTTGTTCCACGCCAGATTATAATCTTGAATATTATAAATCTGAATCAAGAACACTCAATCTGCTAAAGTGACAGGGTAGAGGCTGACAGGAACTCCCTGAATAACTTGGCTGTTCGGTTTGCAAAGGAGATGATCTTTCCAGCAGGTGGTCACGGTTTGATTGTCTTTGGTCTTTTCTCTAGGGTGTCTTTAACCTTGAGTGCCATTGCTATCCTTCTGCAGCAGACCACGAGATTTCCACTTAATCTCCTGCTTTTGGAAGTTTGTTTTTTTTTTTTTTTTTTTTTTTTTTTTTTTTTGCTCCAGGAGTGTGTGTGTTTGATAATACAGGCAGTCAAGTGATGCCCTTCTCTGGAGAAGTAAACCCAGGGTCACAGGTTCGTTAAAGTAAGGTAGAACTTCTTTCTACTCTGGGAAACGAGTTGAGGCTGGAGCATTTCAGATGGAGACGTGGTGATACTCTCTCGACATCTGGAGTCTAGACCTCCCTCATATTTTACGGTCGGTTCGAGTGGCGGTGCTGCCCGTCCCTTTACAGTGGTGTGTGAGCACGGACAAAAGAAGCAGACCAAACATCTGATACTATTAAGCAGAGTAATTTTAATGAAAATGAGAAGCAGTGAGTAACAGAAAGAATAAGTTTGCAATTTTACAAAAGGGTCTTCAGGAAGCAGGGCGTTTCTGATGATGAATGATGCTTTGTCCCGGTGGAAATGGTGGAGTTTGACAGTCCAGGCATGTGTCTTGCTCACAGAGTTGCTTGTAAATCATGTTCCCTGCCAGCTGAGGCACAGCATGGATATATACCAGGAGCTTCTCTGCGAGATGTCATCTTTGGTGAGGTTTACAGCTGAGCCATGTGGACTTGTTCGTGGTTGCAGAAACTCCTATTACTATGGCAAGACAAAGTGGCTGTGAATTAAGTTAAAAAGCGCCTCAAAGTCTCGCTTTACTCCATCAACACGCGGGAAAGATGCCTCAGTACTTGCTGTAATTCAAATTGCCCTTTAGAGTAATAGTTGAAGAAACAGGAGATATTAGAGAGGGTTACGTAAGGGGTAGTTTTATGCAGCCTGGCACCCGCGTGTCCCGCTGAACTCAGAGGGAGGCGTGGGTGCTCGGCGTTTCTCAGCGCCGTAATCTTAGCCATGGATCCGTGTCCTGCATTTCAGTTCTCGGTCGCTATTTCTGCTGGATAACAGATTCAATAGCTGTATCTGTTTCCAAATCGAAAAGAGAAGGGGGACCCAAAGCCGTACCGGTCTCCATACCCGTAACAGCCCTCATAACCACCCAAGCCTCTGTTCTCATACAGGCCCCCAAAGCTTCTGTAGCCATATGGGCTGCCGTATCGGTACTGGTCCCGGTAGTAGCCATACTGGCTCCCAAATCGGTAGCCATTCAGGCCGCCAAAACCATAGAGGTCTTCATAACCAAACGGTGAATAGCACCCGTCCTCGCAGAAGTCCCTGTAGAAAGTCATCGTTTGGTGATGCAGGTAACCTGAAACACACACCCAGAAGGAAGGTGAGTTTATGGGCTGATGACAGCAGGAGGACAAGCTCAAAGCTCAGACAGAGCTGATGACACGCAACTTACTCCCTCTTGCAGATCTTTTTCATCTTAACCAGCTCATTTCTTTTTCTAATCTCCTGAATCCCAAACAACTCTTCTATTTATTTATTTATTTTCCCCTCAACTTGACTATGCATAGAAAATATGGTTTTTACCAACTGAGAACTGAACTCTTTCATCTCGGAAGTTAGAGAAATTAGAATAAATTGAAGAAAATTATACCAGTTCAGGCACTGATGCTTATTCGGATGAGACCACCAGCCAATCATATGCATCCTCTTATCTCCTATTCAACTACGAGTTGAGTAGTACAGCGTGCCACTCAACGAGGGATAAAAAGAATGCAACGAAATGGAGGAATTGTCTTCCAGGATGTCTCCTTAAAATAGTAAATAGTTCCTAAGGTTTTTATCTAAGGATTTGAATTTCCAACACCCAGTGAAAATAGCCAGGAACCGGCAATTACTTATAACTTCCAAACTGTGGCAGGAAACTTCACATTTTCAGTGCTTTAAAGCGTATTATTAAAAAAAAAGCAGAGGAAGAACAAAAAGTTTTCTGATGTTGTGGAGAATTTTCTATTTTGGGATTAGCTCCAAAACCGGCAAGAAATTGCTCGCAGAGCGTCTGGACCTAGACGTAGACACACGTCAAATATGTCACGTACGTATCTACACACCGGTGCCTTTTTTTTTTTTATATATAGATGCATCCACGCACATACATTTATACAAACATTTAGACGCATATACACGCAAATATACGTACAGAGTAGAGTCAGTATGGACTTACCTGGTTCACCGGTGGGAGCAGCTCAAGAGAAGGGAATAAAATCTCGGAGCTGCAGGTCCGTATATATACCTTCTTCAACCCAGTTTCTAGTTATACAACATATCTCCCTGCATGTATTATTCCTTCAATTGATGTAATTGGAGTCGGCCATTTTCATATTTTCAAAGTTTGGTGTTACGACGCGCACGTAATACCTTTAGAATTTCTTTAATCTTAAAACGAGAAGAAATGGGCCGAGCATATTCCTATAGTAAAATTGTCCAGGATTCTTTGTAGTTAGACGGATAGGAATAATTTGGGGAGATGTTTAGACCATTACCGGTTGCGCAATCTGCTCGTAGGTGCTCCGTTCGCTTGGCTTTTGCATCTGTGGCGCAACACGTAAGGGAGAAAAGGAGTAGGCTTTTCTTTGGTGTGCCGAAACTTCGTAGCGCTCCTATTCAGCATCATCATGACCTTTACGCACTGCTCAGTAAAACTGGGGGTGGGGGGAATCTCTTGCCACCAGCTTTGTTTGATTTTTGTCTCAGGTTCCACAACAGGGGTTTTGGAGAACCTTTCCAGCTGCCTTATGAATATTCCCAAATATTTCTTCTTATTTTCGAAGAATTTTTTTTTTTTCTTGTATAGTTTCTGACTTTCATCAAACATATAACACATTGCCTTATTAGGACTTAGAAACCTTAATGTGTCTTGTAAGTGACCATGTTATTAAACCTGTGGGTGTCTTTCGGTGACAAACTATTAATATTTAAATACTGCAACACTTTGCAAATTGAAAACATTAATGAGTGTTTATGAAATGCTTTGGTATTCAAAATTCTGAGGAAGCCTCAACATCCTGCTTGCTCATTATTATCCTTATTTTATATTCAAATTAATGCCAGAAATTAGGTGAAGGTCATACAAGGAGTTCTGCAGTAAACTCCGGCGTTGTTGCACCGTATCGGATACGTGTGGTTGATTCGCTGCAAAGAACTTTTCACGTTGTTCCTCGGAGAACGGCATGTAGTACATCTCACGAAATATACTCATCATTTATTATTTCCCAGGCCAAGTTCAGACTTGCATTCTCCACTTTGTTCTGCCGAACTCGTGGTCAAACCCTCCAGTGAACTAAACTGCAAACAATGCTATAGTCGCATTTCTGCTGGAAACGTTCTCTCTGCTCGTGCAGCAGCATGACTTTTATTCGCCAGATGAACAGTTTGGAGGAATGCAATTAAGATTTGTTTGCAGCTCGTGCTGGTCCTGTTTCCCGAAATTGCTATGGCGTTTAATATAAAATACCTAAATGCGTGCTTACATTTCCTTTAAACGTGAAGCCTGTGCCTCAGTACATCAGAATTTCTAGGGAACGACAGGCGTTTTCAAACGTGTGGGGAGCTTTTCCTTTTTTTTTTTTTTTACTGACAATTTCTCCCTCTCCAGTGGCTTTGGGAACTTATAAATGCTTTTGCATGATACGAAAATAAACTTCAGTTTTTTGGAGAGTGAAGACAATAAAATGATATCAGGAATGTAGTTGGCCTAGAAAATTTTAAGATGAAAGAAACCTGTAATACATGTGACATGGGAGGCTGGGAACACACTAATAATCCCAAACAATGAAGAAAATTATATTAATTGAAGATATGACGTGTACAGGCAAATTTGTTTTCCAGCCAATAAGGCTACAAACCTTTTGAATACGCAGGGCGTCTTAGATAAGCCAGGCGGGCAAAGAAACAGTATAAAAAGGGCTCAGAGTTTTAGGCTCCTCATCAGCTCTCTGCCTCCTCCTCCTCCTCCCGGTGATCTCGGTAAGCCTTTTCTCCATTCAGTCTCTCCGTGAGGATTAGAAAATTCGTCGTCGTAATTTATGTTAGGATCGCGGCTTCTCTGAAATTTATTTCTCTGTACCTTGTACCTGTGCTTACCGCGTCGCAGGAACCGGCGGGTTCAAGTTTTAAAGCCGAAACTTTCCTGGTGCCGTTGGTACCTGGGGTATCTGGCTCCCCGATAACGATCCCTGGTGGTTCTTTTTCCCCCCCCGCCCCAAATGGCCCTCGGTGGGTTTCTTCCCCAAATCTTATTTTATTTTAAGGGAGGTCCTTCAGGTTTCTTTGGCAGGGCAGCAGACGTTCTCACGTGTCTCAACGCCCCATCGCTTCTTGCGTGGGCTGTCAGCATTTCCAGATGCCGATGAAAATTGGTGTGAAGTGCTGAAATGGGACTTGGAGCGAGCACGGACCTAAAAGCTAAAGTTGTGGTATCAGCGCACGCTTCAAGCTTTCTTGAAGGATTTGGGAATGGAGATCTCGATGCAAAGCTGATTTTCTAAAAAGAAATTTAGGATTGTCGAAATTTAGGATTGTTAGCTCCTAACAGTATTCTCTAAGAAATAATCCTGAAACAGCAGCGAGGAAGTTTCGAGCTGTACCAGGTGTATTCTACAGTCAGTTCTTTCACCAGTCTCACTAAGAGAGGAAACAAATAAAATGGTTTAACAGCAGTGGGGGAATGAAAAAAAACCCCAAAAGATAGAAATTAGATGTAAGTAGAAATTTGAGGAATTTGGGCGTAATTTTACTTCTGTCTTTGGTCTCATGGGGCCAGTGAAGAAGTCTTTGGGTTTTGAGACTGCTACTGCCACTGGAAGTATTTATTCCTTTTGCTTTCCTCCCCGCTGCTGTGTTTCAGGTTTACCTCCATCGCAGAAAGATGACTTTCCTCCAAAGCCAGTGCGACGATGACTGCTATTCTCCCTGCAATTACGGGAGCCTCTACAGCTACAGGAGCTACGACTGCGGGAGCCCCTGTGGCTACCGGGGTTATGGGGGCCTCTACGGCTACCGGGGCCTCTACGGCTACGGGGACCGGTACGGCTACGGCGGTCTGTACGGTTACCGGGGCATTTATGGCTCTGGGGACTGCTATGGCTATGGGGGTCTCTATGGAGGATATAGGGGCTTCTATGGCTCTGGGGACTGCTATGGCTACCCAGGCTTTTACTCTGGCCGCTACGGCTACCCCTTCAGTTCACGATATGGCCAAAGGTTCGGCTACGGGAGCTGCTACTCCTGTTAAACCCAGCGAGAACCGTCCCTGAAAGGAAGATCAACCCCGTTCTGGCAAGCACGGATTGACAGCAGCAGTTCCTGGTGTGCATCCGCGGGAGCCTCCGAGTGCCCCGCACGGCTGCTGAAGTGCTTGCGATGATTTATCTTTATTCTGCTTTGTGTCTGCTTCCTCTCTTGTCACCCGAGCTCTCCTCTCGATCAAAAGCTTGCTTCTCCTTGATAGCGCAAGTCCTTTGTAAACCGGCTTTCATGTTTGTTGCAGCGACGTACGAAACATTAGCTCTGAACGAGCGGTACGGGCAGGGTGTAATGTGTCTTCGGGAATGTAGTCTTTCAGTTCTGTATGCCGTTGAAAATGTATCTGCCTTTAGCTCATATTAAAACTTATCCGCATCAATACCGTATTTCTGGTTTTCATTCTTCACCCGCATTTCTTAAACATCTTGAAATCAATAACAACGCACAGATCGGGCGGCAAAGTTATTAACTTGGTGTACTCAAGGATTTTTTTTTTTTTTTTTTTTTTTTTTTTTTTTGGAGAGTCTTGCCCTCTTCAAGCTGAGAAACACGGACTTTTGTAGCTGCAAGAAACCTCAGCTCTGTCTCCGGTTATGCGTGTTTCTGCAGCTCTGGGCTTTCTCTTGGTGTAATCCACATAAATGGTTTGTTTAAAATAATTTAGTGCCGCTGTTGGGCTAATTGCGATGTGATTGAGACATGATCCATCACTGGCTGCCATCTGATATTGAAGAGGTCCTAAGCAACTGCAAACGTGTGGACTCACCAGGCTTTTAAATTTTGAAATAGGTTTGTGTTTTATATATTATCATCGAATCATTAAACAGGCCAGGTTGGAAGGGAAAGATCGGGGTTGAAAGACGAAGTGTTCCATGGTGGAGAAGTGGGAAATAGTTGGGTAGAAGAAATGGATATTCATCGGCCAGCCCCTCCGAGACACGGCAGCAAGGTGGTTTTGTCTGTCAATTCAGGGCAGCGTACGCAGAGCCCACAGTTCGGAAGGAAAGCAAAGCCACAACTGGTTTATTTATCCTGA